ATTCCTATTATTTGGGTTTTCTCTTCTTAATCACTGCATATGATTCTTAACATACAAAATTAGAATATCACATAATAGGGCCAGATCAGTGAGTTTCGAGAAAGCCTTTATTAAGCAAAATTGACTTGAGAGTTGGAATGCTAAATGTGTACTTTAAGCAAAGGTTGGGAAAATGAATTCTTAGAGTTTGTCAATTTTTTCATGCCTGAAGTTGCAAAATAATCAGGTATTTAAGAAAACTCATTATACTATACTATGGATAAATTCTAGCTAAAAAGAGCTGTATTCACAAAATACGCATTCTTCAGAAATCATTTTTACTTGCATAGTTTAAACCTATGAACATTTTCAGTTTTCATTTTTACACAGAGAAATAATTTGCATATGAAATGCATAAACATAAACCAGCTCAGTATTTTCTTTCAACTGCTGTTAATTTTTCACAATGTTTGCATATTGGCCGAATTTTATCTGGTGCTGTTCTTCCTTTTCTTTCCTTGGAAGTTTCTTATAGCTGCTCAGTGTTATAATGATTCAGTAAATGAAGCATCTTCACTCATTTTGTCTTTCACTGAGATGGATTTCATATCCTACAATGATCATTTCTTTCCAGCAATTTAATAGATGTGATTCACTGGCTCAAATATTCAAAATTTATGGTTTATAAATAATTCCCTCTATATCTTCATTGAACTTGAAGTAGTTTGCTTGCTACAGAAAAATCATTAAAATAATCCACATCAAAGTAAAAACAAAATCACTGAAAGACAAATAAAAACAAAACCAGGACACCCAAATAAAATAATGCTAGCAAAATGAACATAGTAGTAATAAGAATAAAAAGCACTACAACCTTCTGATTTGAAATATCTTTTTTTAAAGTGCTTTTTTGCCTGATGCCTGAAGTCAAAGACTGTTGGAGTCATAAAAACGATACAAAGGAATTATGTAGCACTTTTGGTCCAGTTCATCAGATGTATCAGAAGTGGAGTGAAGTCCATAAAACTCGTGCTAAACTGTTATTGTTCTTAGGACCTCATCCCACTAGAACACTTATCCACTTTAAATCCAGTTGCTTTGTCCTGCAGAGTTCTGGGATTTGTAGTTTAGGGAGGGGTCTTTAAACTGCCCGATCATAGAGGTCCTGGGCCTCACTAAACGACAAACCCCAGAATTCTGCAGGAAGCAGCAACTAGATTTATCGTGGACAGATGCTCTAGTGCAGTGGTTCCCAACCTTCTTAATGCCTTGACCCTTTAATACAGTTGTGGTGACCCCCAACCACAAAATTATTTTTGTTCTTACTTCATAACTGTAATTTTGCTACAGTTATGAATCGTTATGTAAATATCTGATATGCAGGATGTATTTTCATTGGTATTTCTCATTCTCTCTGGAATTTGGCCATGGAGGGGCCATTCTACCCCTCTCTAAACCCTGCCCCCTTCCTAGCACCCTCCCCCCATATTTTCTCTTCTCCCTTCTCACTTCCACCTCCACCTCAATCTCTTGCTACTCCTCCTTCTTCCTCTTCCCTCTTGTCTCCAAAGCAAATCTCACCTCTGTTGCTGCTGTCTCTTCCTCCCAAAATGGAGTGGGTAGGGCTGAGTGATGTCACTACCTCCCTCCAGTGAAAAAGAGACTTCTGGGAAGCGAAGGGGGTGGGAAAAAGTTAGTGGTGTCTCAGTTCCTAAGAAACATGTGTTTTTTAATGGTCTTAAGCAACCCCTAAAGGGCTGTTTGACCCCCAAAGGGGTCATGACCCACAGATTGAGAACTGCTTCTCTAATGTGATGAGGTCCTTAATCTCAAAGGATTCTTTTATACTTTTTCACTGCAGATAGTACACATAAAGCAGGGCCAGAGGTGTTGAATGGAGTGCATAGAAGTTAAGAGTTCATTTTGTCAAGTCATATAGCTAATCACTATTGTTCATGTGATAAAGAGATCTTTTCCCACTAATTGGCTCATTTTAGATTTATCTTGCAGTGTATGACCAGTTCAAGAGAAGGTACAGCAATATATATCTACTTTCTCAGCTCTACTGCACCTGGGATTTTTTTTTTTAGAAATAATTCTTCAAAAAGATAGAGAAAGGATTTCAAGCTACCCAGCTACTGGAAATCATAGCAATTGTGTTATTTATTTATTTATTTATTTATTTATTTATTTATTCCGTACACTTCTATCCCACTCTTCTTCCCACAATGGGGACTCAGCACAGCCTCACAAAGGCATCAACTATGCTTACAACATATACATCATACTAATACAATAAAATAGTAAAACAGTAAAAACATCTTAAAGCATCTTACACATCTGTCAATAAATTCATTTACCAATGATATTAAAATCCCAGTAAAATCAAGAATCAAGCCGGGAAATCCAATGCCACAAACCCAAATTCCTTTCCTATTGTCACTTTCATCTAATCAAATGCCTGGCCACAGAGCCAGGTCTTCAGTTGTCTTCTAAAGGACAGGAGGGAGGTGGCCAACCTGATACTTATGCCTTACACAACTATAAGACCCTAAATACTATAAAGTCTTCATCTGGACTTGTTTTCATATTTTACAATCGTTCTTCTTAGAGGGAAATTCTCATACATGCCTTTCTTCCAAAATGTGTGCCACTTGTGAGTTGTATCTAATTGCCTACACTACAAAGACATTCACTCTTTAAATATTGCTCCAAGTTTTGTAGATTTTCCTGGGATATACTGTAATTTTTATTAAACCTTAATTTAGATTTCATTAGTAAAAATATTTTCAAGGGGGCCAGAATTTATGGTTTTTGCATCCTCTACTACAGGGGTCCTCAAACTAAGGCCCGGGGTCTGGAAACGGCCCTCCAAGGTCATTTACCCAGCCCTCGCTCAGGGTCAACCTAAGTCTGAAACGACTTGAAAGCACACAACAACAACAACAATCCTATCTTATCAGCCAAAAGCAGGCCCACACTTCCCAATGAAATATTAATAATTTTATATTTGTTAAAATTGTTCTTTATTTTAATTATTGTATTGTTTTGTGCACTACAAATAAGATACGTGCAGTGTGCATAGGAATTCATTCACTTTTTTTTTCAAATTATAATCTGGCCCTCCAACAGTTTGAGGGACTGTGACCTGGCCCTCTGTTTAAAACGTTTGTGGACCCCTACTCTACTAGAATTCAGCTAGTTGAACTTCCTTAGAACCAACAAGATACTGGGAGGTATCTTGTTGAAGACAGTCATATATTTTATTGAAGACAGTTATGTTGTTACTTTGTGCACATGCTATTAAATCCTCCTGAAATTGTAATTTGTAATTCTTAGTCTTGTACTTCTAACTGTATAGTCCAATCTGTGGCTGTATGTGTGTAACGGATAAATTCCATCACCTGCATGAATGATATTCATGTAGAATACTGGTTGTTCAGTACAAGTAATAATATGTTGCTTAGATAATTAATACAAAGATTGTTTCATAATATATAAACAGAAATAAAAGAGCTAGCCTATGAAGTAGGGTGAGGTGATGTCTTAGACAGCAGAGTTGGTAAGCCGCAAAAAGGCAGCAAATTGTTAATTATTTAATTGGTAGTGTTATATATTCTTTTTT